ACTGAGAATTTTTAACAGCATATTACAGGAAAAAAAATTAGGGGCAAGATCCACAGAGGGAGTGATAACACTCCTATATAAGAAAGGTGAGAGATCAGATGTTAAAAATTACCGCCCTATCTCGCTTCTTAATGTCGCCGGCAAAATTATGGCCAAGACACTTTCTAGACGTTTAGCCCCCTTCATGACTAGACTAGTAAATCCTGACCAGTCAGGTTTTGTACCTGGGAGACTGGTACTGGATAATGTGATGGTTCTCTCGTAGGCAATAGACCTTATAAACAACACAGGTTCCAACACAGCAATAATACTGATAGATTTTGAAAAAACTTATGATAGAGTAAACTGGAAATTCATGCAAGCTGTCCTTGAGAAGGTGGGTAACAGTAAAGGGTTTAGAAAATGGGTAGACTCTCTGTACCACGGATCCCATGGCAGGGTAGTAATCAATGGCCACATTTCGGACCCCTTCACGATTACAAGGTCACTGAGGCAGGGGTGCCCCTTGGCCCCCTCACTCTTTGTGATCCAATTGGAGATACTATTGAATATGATCAGAATCCATGCAGATTACACTTGTCTGAGAATCTCACCGAGCTACCAACTGAAGGTTTCTGCCCTGGCAGATGATTTTTCAGTAATTACCGAAAATTCCCATGCATCACTAAGTGCCCTGAAACAGTGTCTGTCTTTGTATGAATCGGCTTCGGAAATGAAAATCAGTTGGAATAAGTCAACGGCTTTAACAGCAGATAATAGGCCCCTAGCTGTGGACTTGGGCATCAAGGCCACAAGGAATACAGATTCTGAACGGTACCTGGGAATAATGGTCTCATTCGGGGATTGCTCTCAGGTACAGGATAGTATCGTGGAAAACAGAATCAGGGAAGCTTGTACGAAACGCTGAAAGAACTCTTATGCGTCCATTTTTGGAAGGGCGATCCTGACAAACTGTGCGGTGTTATCCACAGTATGGTACATCCTGTCCATAAGTGCACCGAACCCGAGATCAGCCAAACTCATCCGCCAACTTCTCACCAGGTATTTATGGAAAGGAGACTCAGGAGTAGAGTCCTGTATCAGTAAAGTAGCATGGTGGAAACTGACGGAGAAAAAAAACCAGGGAGGCCTGGGAATCCTTGACCCGGAGAAACAGAATTACGCCCTATTAGCCAAGTGGCCGGTGAGATTACTCACATCCCAATGTACACAGCCGTGGATGATCTTGGCACAGGCTCTCCTGTGCAAAGATTGGAACTTGACTGACCCTGAATCGGTATGGCAAGCCATCCTCATGCACCCACTAACTTCCTCAGTGAAATCGCCCACTTGGGCGCCTATACTTAAGGCGTGGAGTAGGCTTCTCCCATACACCATAACACACCCCTCTACTAAAAGTGAAATCTTCCATACATGCTTCTTCGATAATCCAGCTATCACTGATCCTGAGGGCAAGCCCTTGTCGGTGGCAAATAAACCTGGCTATTTTGCGAGGAAATGGCTACAGAAGGGGGTATGGCAGATTCAGCATCTATGGGACAAAGACAGAGGCCAGTGGAAGACAGCAGAAGAACTGAGAAGTAAACTGAAAGGACTCCGCAACATTGAGCAACACAGAGATTGGGTGACTCAGGCCATACCAGACGAGTGGACTCAAGTAATCAAGAAAGACGATCATGGCAAACATGCAGGAACGTGGTGGAAAAAGGTAGGCTGCGAGGGGACAATCTATCAAATAGAATCACCCCCCTCAAAGGTCTCAGTATGGACCAGGGGCAGAAAATTTCTGATTAAACAAACCGGAGGAGTGATCCTCCAGGATGACGAGGAACGGCTGGAAATTGGAGTATCAGAATGTGCACACAAGGGCAAGCGGCAGTTCAAACTCATAATGGAGGGCTCACCAAAGGAGACATGGAAAGTAGATATAGGGAGGATAGGCTGGATTCTGTCCGACGACTCCTCATCCTCTTCCAATATCTTGCTCTCAGACTACTCTTCCAAAGTAGGCTATTCCTTAAGATCTAAGGCATCTACTTTACAGATTAACGTCTGGAACAGTTGGAGAAAGAGGGGAGCACCCGTTAACGGTCCCCTCTTCAACAACACATGGGTCAATTTTTCATTACCTTACTTCTCAGTGTGATGGAAGTGAAGGTAGCCAGCCTACAGTGGATGCATCTCCACTCGTGCGTACCGACGGCAGATTGGTGCGTAAGCAAAGGGATGGATATCTCCCCCCAGTGTGATGTCTGTGTTCAGGAATCACTGGAAGACTCGAGCCACCTATGGTGGGAATGCATTGTGGCTAGAGGATTCTGGGAATTGGTGAGCAGTCTGTGGCAGCTTGCCTATGGCCCAGAGGTATTTTGGACCAAGGAGTTTATCCTATATGGTAACAGAAGTAAGGATCAAGTTGCTATTATAGCCAATAAGTTCAGGGCATTGGGTTTTTGGGTACTTTAGATAGCAAGAAGGGACAGGAGGTTCAATAGTAACTTCTGGTCCCCAGCAGTCATCCTTAATAAGTTTAAATTTGCCCTACGGAATCTAATATGCGCAGAATGGGTGAAGATACGCAGAGCCAAAGGGGCAAGAAATAGTCCAGCTGCTAGAAATAGTATGAAGACTACTTGGAACAAGGAGTTCAAATGGATTTCCTCTACAGACCAAGGACAGCTGGTGATCTCCAAGCATCTATGGGATGAAGTAGTAGAGCACTGCCCCCAGTTAGAGAGCTTGGGAGACTGCTAGCTAATGGGTTGGGTCTGTGTTGTCCTATAAGAATGAGTTTATTCATCCTTTCAGACAGCCTATTGGGCTGAGATTATTATAGGCAGCAATAAATAAGGATACATAAAGGACTGTACAAAATAGGACTGGTTCGCCAGTCAGTACAAAGTTGCGCCTGCGTTCATTCGGAGTTGATTATTTTCAGTGATTATCGCTGGTTAAGAGATAAGGG